AGTGAAGAATATTTTGAATTCTCATTGTAATATTTACACTTCCTGAGTTATTTTGAATGTGATGTTTTAAACTATCAGCTTGTTTTATTTAAACTTTTTAGTACATTTTAATGAGTGATTTTTCCATGAGAATACCTTTCTACCTTTATTAAATGAGACAGTAGGAAAATATGACTTGGTTTCCACAGTTGACTTTTAAGCCAAGCTATCAGCAGCACATCTGTTCCACAAAGTTGGGAACATCATGTGTGATTGCCATGTGTAATTGTCTCCTTACAGCATTGCTTAGAACAGTCGCATTGAACCATGAGTGGCTGACACCTACAGACCACTACTAGGGGCAGGGACTCTTCTAAGTGCTTTACGTTTATCAATTTTTGTTATAAATGTTTAAGCATGTTCCCCTTCTTCCTGCTTTCCTTCTGCCATCATTCCCTTCTTGCCACTGGCATCCCATGGGACAGAACATTTTAAGAAAAACAGAAGTCAGAAACGTGAGCAGCTGCCTAGAAGACTGTCCACTTAATTTATGGAGCTCTTCTTTGTTAAAGGGACACATGAAGAAAGGGATCGGGAGTTCTGAGGTGGTGTTGGGAGGTGGAGAGGCCACAGCCCAGGAGGTGCCCCTGCACTGAGCGGCTGACCTCAGACACTGAGGAGGGTCTTCTGTGTGCCAGCTCAGGGCTGCTGCAGACAACATGGCAAGTCGGATGAGGAGACACGTTTTGCTGCAGATCCAGCAAGAGGATGGGAAATAGACATTGGATGAGAGCAGCTAGGGTGGAAGTGAGGAGTTCAGACCAGTGAAGAGATGAGAGGTCTGGCTTTAGATTCTCAAAAGGAAAGGAGAGAGACACACCTGTGTTAAATAAATAGCTTCACCCCTAGAAGGATCAGTACCTCATATCATAGAGGGTGAGCAGTCTGCCATCTTGCCTCCTGCTGGGCGATTGCCTGCCTTATCTTTTGAATTCTACATTTGTATATATCTGGGATTTGTTGTTGCTCTTGTTGGTTTTGGAATTTTTTTGGTGCTGGTGTTTGAACCCAGGGCCTGGCACTTGCTGAGCACATGGTCTCCTGCTGAGCCACACCCCCAGCTCCAGGGTAGTGGACATACACTTATTCTGGGGTCCATCATGGCTTCGTTACAGAAACTGTGTGGCATCTGATATCTGGCAGGCCTGGATTTGAATCTCAGCTGTTGGGTGGCCTTGAGTGGCCTCTTGACTCTGAGATGGTAGCAGTGGCCTCCGGAGGGGCTGCAGGAGGTAGTGTATGTATGTCAGTGTCTCCAACAGTGTCTGGGGCAGGGGCTAAAGAGACGAGACCACAGAGGCGGCAGTGTCTTCCAGACCAGGGAAACCCAGACAGAGATGAGATGGAGAAGACCTGCGGCAGTTAGGGTTAGAGCCTCTTGCCAGATGGCCACAGTTTGTTTACTAAATGTGAACTGCTGAGGAGGGAGGGGGTGCTGGAAGTGTAAGGTGGGGTGGAGGTTCAACAGGAAGACATGTTTTGAAGTGTAAGTGTTAACTTCCTTACAAGGTCCATGCAAAGGTTTCCAGAGATAAGGC